TTTATTTATTTAATTTTAATACCAAGCGGTTACTTATAACATAAATATTAATATAGATTAGAGTAGTATCTAATATTTTTGTTCTGTTTAAATCTAAACCATACGTATTTAATTTCTCATAGTGTGACAGTTGTTTTTCCATATAATCCAGAAAAATTAAAAATATCCCAAAAAGTTTTCTACTACAACCATACTTATTATTAAGTGTACACAAATAGGTACGTTTGGTAATGCATTTACTATATTGTATAAAGGGTTTTCCCAATTATTTTAAAAAAACGCTTAGAAAAATATTTGAACGACTTTTTTTTATGAAACAAATAGAATTAGATTTCAACCAAAATTATTTACTGAATTTTTGTATTTAAATCATGTTATAAATTTTGTTGAACTATACAGAAATATGTCAGGATAATTATTATTTTTTATAAGTGTGTAACAAGCTGCACAAACAGATATTTATTATAAATCATAGAAATGTGTTTACAAAATTTTTATATTAAATTACTTTGCCAATTTTTTGTTTGTTTTTTAATTGATAATAAGGAACTAAATTACACAATATGACGTACGTGATATTTGCAAATGAAGAAAATAAAAATTGCAACATTTATTTATTTAGTGCCATTATGAAGATAAATTAAAGTTTTATGGATGAGGTTAAATATTTATCCAAAGAGTAAATAAAAATAAAAATTAACCTTTTACATATAAATTAGGACCCGGCATAAAATATAAAATATTACTACATTGTTTTAATTTGTGAATTCTGTATTAAATAATGGAACAATTTTCTATCTTATCTAAACATTTTGTATTCTATACATTTTGTTGTTGATTTTGTTAGTGAAAAGTACGAAAAAGTGTAAAATAATTTTAATAGCATCCACGCAGAATTATTGCAATAAAGTAAGTTGATATGTATGTCAGTACATTGTTAACATGCACATAGTGTTTATATTAGCCATGCTCTTTAGCTAATGTGTTATATTTCATATTAAAGCATGAAATATCAACATTCCTGGATAATAGTAACGCTAACTAGGAATGTTGGAAATATTAAAAGTTATTTATTAAATACAGTAGGAGTTTTTGTTAGCGTTCTGTATACCTGAGTATGCTTTTAAATAATATAATTAGATATTAATAAATTTATCCGTAGTTCATATTTTCCATTATGCAAACTATAATGAAGGTAAAATGATGATTAACACTTATAATCCATGTCCATGTATGGCGTGTATCATGGTCTCACAACAGTAAATCACCAAACTGCCAGATTAAAATTACTAATCTTAACTTATAATTCATCTATAGTCATCAATAATAACCCTATAGCANAAAAATGTCATCTAAACGAAAAGACCTTGTAATTAAACCGATTAATCATTCAGAAATTAAGTATCGTTATCAGGTATATCTCATCTGGGCCTGGATAAACAACAGAGGCATTGTGTACTACACATTTCTGGGCGTATATTATTTAAAAAAAAAAATCGTTGAAAGTTAAAAACAAATCTCATTTTATTTATTTCACAAGTAGATCCTAAAAACAAATTTCTTGAGTTATGTAAAATTTATATCTACAAATCACCATTTTTTTTTTCAATTTTTTTCTGTAAGCATTTTTATACTTCTAATTTTTTTTTTGCAAATTCATGAAAAAAGTGTTGACAACGATTGGTAGAAGTAACGGTACAGAAATTAGTCATCATTCTTTTATTTGAAAAAAAAACTTTTTCTACATTTAGATTCCAAGCGTATCGAAGTATTTATCGGTATTACAGTAGTGTTTATTTGTTATTTTTTTCTTCTAGTCTGTGGACATGTTTTTTTCTAATAAACTCGTTCCGAATTGTATGTGTGCCAATTCTTCTGTAAGCACAAAGGTACTTTTTAGATTATTAACGCCAAGTTTCAAATAAAAACACTTAAAAAAAAATATAAACGTACAATTTCTCTATTTTATTATTTTATTAAAACAAGGACGACGTTCTCTACGAAAATAGTTCGTCCATGTATTAATCGAAAAATCACAATATAACTATTTTGTGGCCTTTTCGATTTACTTTCAGTCGGTATCAACTTCACTCAGAAGAGTCTTTCTTCAAGCAATGATATATCTGTAAGAAAAGATATACCATTCTTTGATGAAATGAAATCACCCTGTGTATTATATGTACCTAAATTTTAACTTATAACTGAGGCCACTCCCATCTTTAGTACCACCACTATTATTAAGAATAAGTGCAAAATATAAGAGTTTAATTTAACTGTCTTCAAATAAATTACTTTGCATGTGTTTGCAGCCACTGTTGTTGTAGGTGGAAAATTAGGAATGTAAAATTCAGGCTGAAATATAATGTAAATCTGTAAAAATCGAAAACCGTTGATATCGAAAAAACGATTCTGAGAGAGGTTTACTGAAAAATATTGCTGTGTCAACAATACATATGCCATATTATAGCAAAATAGTTGCATATGCATTAAACATTTTCCTTAAAAATATTTGTTCAATTTTGTATCTATTCTCCCGTTATCCTGATTTTGACATATTTAATTTTTAGGGAGGGATTTGACTTTAATAAAATTTATTTTAATAATATAATAATATAATTAACAAATATAATTTATTATTACTTATTACAAATAGTAATAACAATTACTACCTCCTAATTATAGTCATATCCAAACATCAAATTGTACAAGTTATAATCAGCAAAAAATAGGTGCGTTAGCACTCATATTATATAATACATGACTGATATTATACGTAAATATTTTTTTCAAAAATATTATGTTATTATATGTCTATATTAATAAAGCATAATTTATAATTTTTAGTAAACAAAAAAAGTGAAAATTTCCATAATTTTAGTAATTTTCAAATTAAAATAAACACAAAAAAAAATTTTTGATCCTGTATCGAGTAGGCAGTGAACCCAGCGGTAATTTTAACTGCAGTAATATTTTCAATTAATTTCTCTTAGACCGTCAAGTGAAAGTGATTACACCATAATAATCTACCTTAAAGGTAGGATTATAGTGTTTCAATAATTTTAATGATTTCAAAAGTACAGTATATTATATTTAAAAATTTAATGAGTTTTAATATTATTATAATATAACTGATTTTGTCTAATTAAAATCAACTTTTNAGTGAACGGTAATTTTAACTGCAGCAATTTTTTCAATTTATTTATCTTAGACAGTCAAGTGAAAGTGATTACACCGTAATAATCTACCTTAAAGGTAGGATTATAGTGTTTCAATAATTTTAATGATTTCAAAAGTACAGTACTTTATATTTAAAAATTTAATGAGTTTTAATATTATTATAATATAACTGATTTTGTTTAATTAAAATCAACTTTTGTTGAATAGGTAATTTACAAATTTGGCGATCTAAACCTCTAGCAAGAACATTTGGATAGTCAGTCGACTACTGCAATAACGTAACGTGTAGCAATTATTACTGTCAACTGGAATCATACCTATATACTTAATATCAATTGTTAAGACCGTAACGTTTAACCGAAATATATTAAAATTAAAGCATAAAATTAATTTTGTGTCTCCCAAGAATATCGTATTATTCGCGTCTCTATTTCTGATTTATTGCAAATATGCTGTTAAAATTTATCGTTTCGTATGTTATTATTTATTCTTTTATGCCGGTGTCAGTACAAGGTATAGGCGAAGGACCGATTTCCCCTCCACCGAAATCTCATCTCCCTGATGATCCGCATTTCGAGGGCCCTGGCCCTCCCTCTATTTCTAATGCACCTTATAATCCAGGTACTCCTGTTCACCCTCCCCGTTAGATTAAAGGACATTAAAAATCAACTTTTGT